TCAGCCCACATCTCATCCATGGCCCCAATGTGGTCAATAGCACCCACAACAGTCTGTGGCGTAACGGCATCATGTTCACAAAACGCGGTGGTGGCGTTAGCCAACACTGTACCCGCCTAGACCACCACTGCAACCGGGCCTACGTTAAGCACTTACAAGAACGGGGCCTGGTCGGAGCGAAGCATCGTCTGTGCACCAACTAGCGCAACGGGGTCAAAAGGACCCCAGTCGTCGAGTCAACACTTTTATTTTCCTTACGATAGCGTAGCGGTACAAGCATCTGGGATCCTGGCGGGATCTCCACCTCAACATCAACAAGGGTTTGTACCGTGCCGCATGCTGCCGAATGTGGTTGCGACGATGGCAAAAAAAAATATTTTTGACCCGACGGCATTTCCAAACAACCCTGGTCAATGAGGATTTTGATGAGCATCCTCTTAAGGAAATCGTTACCCAAAAGGTAGGGAACCACTAGCGACCTCGAGATCAGGACAGGCCCAAGCACAGCCACTTTGCCAATTACGATGCGGGCATCCACCTGGCCAATGATGCCCATGCTCCCACCATTCGCCGCTACACAAGAATTAACAACAGGTCGTATTTGACGAGCCGGAATCGACAACAATTGAAATATAACGTCCGAAATAATGGTAGCCGAGGCTCCCGTGTCCACCATGACACGTACCTCCACTCCCTGCACCGAACCCGACACCGCCGAAGAACCCGCAGTCACCGCGACCACGCGACATGCCATTTTCCTCCACTGTGTCCTCGAGCTAGGCCACCCCTGCGCAACCGAACCCTGGTGCCCGGTGCCAACGTGTGGGTTATGCTGAGAGCGGGCCGGGTGTCTGATGTGTACAGACTCGCCTGTTGGGATTGAGGTTGAGCCGTCGGAGGGGCTGCAGGCGCCGGAGCAGCAGTCGGTGTCGGAGGGCGATTCTGGCATTCCCTCGCGAAGTGCCCCGGCTGGCCGCAGCGGAAACAGGCTAAAGGCGGCCTCTGCGCCACCTAGTCCTTGTGTTGACGTGGTCTCCAGTTCCATCGACTGCTCGCAGCATTCGCTTGTCTCTGATTCCACGGGGGAACCGCAGCAGCGACGTCCCCCACCGAAGATGCATCGTTGGCTGGCACCACCACCATTTTGCTCGGCGACCATCCCTTCTGTTCCCCATCTCGGCTGGGGTCCCCCAGGTGGTTGTACAGCTGACACCAGCTGTACAACCACCGCCCGCAACGAGTCCAGTTGCTCTGTCCCCTCCTCCAGCCGTCTTCGGGCTGCTGGTGTGGAGGCATTGCGTTCGTGCCAACCGTCTCCAGCGCAGCGACCTCTTCCACCGTGGTTTCCATAACCGGGACCACGGCTCCCGGGGCCGGCAGGTCTTGGGTACCATTTTCATCATCGTCGTCGGAAGACACCATAGGTCGGTTACGCTTCTTCTGATGTTTAGACATCTTCTGTCAACTACATTCCTTGTTTTTAGCCACTTCTGACTCCAATATAATGAGCGACTTCCGTGACACGTTGTGTAGAGGGTACTCTTCTTTATTCCACGTACAGGCACAGCACAGGCCAACGTTATCGGCTTCCTCTCCAAGTACACACTTAGATATTAACGTTCTATAGACTACACACACGGTTGATCACACGGTGGGTCCCGCCCGTCTGCTCCCGGTGTCGCCGATGGCTGACGGTGTGCCGGGGAGGGCGGTGGAGCTCCGCAGGAGATCCGGCACGTGGCCGAACGACGGAGAGAGATGACGGCGAGCAGCAACTCCACAAACCGACCCCGAGTCCTCCTCTGCCTCCGCTTATATTGCCGCAGGCGCGGCTAGGCTCCGCCTCCAGCCACGCCCTCCCGTGGAACTTTCTAGCCGGTTCTCGGAGTTTCTCGGCCGGCCCCGCCCTTCACCTTTCGCCCAGATACCTCCTTTCTTTGGGGATTGGATAATGTTTATAGTGGTGCTTGTACCCGTGCTTCCCTTTTCCAACCAGTAGATGTCACTATCTCATTACACATTTATACTGCAGGAGACATCCGATGAGTTATGAAGCTCTTTTTCCCACAGATGTCCAGTAGCGGCGGGCTCATAAAGTTACAATAACAAATAGTAGAAAAACACGATAGAAAGCCAAAGTATAGCAAAGTAAACAAATTACACAGAAGAAAAACACTTTTTTTATCTTACCAGGCAAAGCCCACTGAGCTATTCGCTTCTTATTTCAGGAGCCACCTGGCGACAATTGACAGCTTGGCGAAGTGCCGTTGAAATGTATAGCAGCCGAATAATCTAAATTCACTAAACACGTGTTTTTAAACGTGGAGGGGAAAAACCCGGAGGATCCGGAGAGAGAAAAAAAATCCACACAGCAGCTGCTGGGACAGACTGACGGGATTCACCGCTTACCAGGCAGGCGGGGGGCAGGTGGGGGGATACTCGAGAGATACATTCACAATCGCAAGAGTAATTAAAACGCGCACCCCCTCCCCTTCACCCCCCACCCACCCCCTGGGCCAGGTGTTCGATCACAAGAAGTTATCGGCGCCTTGGATTTAATTGTGGCGCGGCTGGCTCGCTGCGCTTAGTGTCCATCTCACGTTGACCTCCGCCGAGGCCCTCATTAATCACGGGGACACGGCGCGCACAGCACACACGGGCAGAGTAATCGCTGACCTTTGGCCGCACGTTCAATCGGGGCTCCCTATTGTGGCTTCGCTTGGACAGGTTTTTATTTTTATTTTCCCACGTCATCCGTCTCCCAGTTTCCCCCTTGCTTTTATTCCCCGTGATTAATGCAGCTGGATGTGATTTTCCCACGCGTGACCACAAGTCTCTCGGACAGGAGACCTGGGAAAGTAAAAACTTGAAGGACACTGAAACAAGCACTGTACGTGTCGTTGGAAGATGAAGGTCACTCTGTCAACTGTTACCCAAAGGATTTAGATAGCGTCCGCAAGCATTGTTAAGGGCCGTATCCATCTGCACACATCCATGTTGACTGTGGGGAATAACACAGAGTACCAGGGTATATCTTAAATAAATCAAAACCATTTGCCAAATGACTGAGAGAGGAAGGCCTCACTATGCCGTCTCAGCCACGAGGGTTATTTGACCATACTTCACCATGCTGGTCAGTGTGGGTTGGTGGATGGCGAGGAGATTTGGATCTGTTAAGATATCACTCTCCACCGATGTTAACCACGACCAGGAATTTAATCCAAGCTAGCCGGGTTCATAGTGCAGTACGCTCATCGCTGTTCCACCGCTGCGCACCATGAGCATTATTAATGTCTGTTGCATATTCGTCACAGTACCTGTGCGTAAGTGTGCCCATGAGGGACGGTGACGCGGCCCAGCGGTAGCGTGTTCGCTCCTTTGTTGCAGAGGATTGTGGTTAGCGCCCCGGTGGCCGCCCTGGTTAATGCTGCGTTGTGAATTAACAGTGTGCAATACTTAGCGCCCGTTTGTTTCTCAGTGAACGTTACAGATTCCCTGATGTCATTCCAAACGAGTAGGCCATTGTGTGCTGACATCACGGTCCAAAGTTACTCACAAATAACTTTTTTTTATTACACACAGCAGCAATCATCGCACCCTACTGGCAGACTCATGCCCATTTGCCAGCCAGGTGTTGTGTCACGTTGTACCCACAGGGATAGCTGCCACTGGGGGTGCCCTTTCAAATGTTTTGAAATGAGATGTGAAGTGTTGTGAGACATCCCCAGCGTATAGGAGCAGTTCTAACATTTTTTCAATCATATTTTAACAATTTTTGTAATTAACACTACCTTACATATTTTGTTATATATAGCAGTATTAATTACAAATGTGCAAAAGCTTTATTGATGGATTTTATTACGTTGTTTTATTACGTTGTAACATCAGGAATTCATTTTACTGAATCTGCCTATTGCCCATGTCGCCAACTCTGCATATATTTTCATATCCGCCATTCCACATCCAGTATACCTTTCTCTTGGATGTGGCTACAAATAACGCACCACCTACTAAGGCCGATCAGAATACAGTCCCTGTGCACCATTCGTAAACGCGGCCCCTTGATGTTTTCTGTTAACGCTCATGATCATTATTATCCTCTTTGGTTCTTTCGGTAAAGTCACGTAGAAAGAAAATAATAATAGAATACGACGTTTCGATTGCAACACAAGCAACCATCATCAGGTAAGAATGAATGAGAAAACAAACCTAGTAAACTTAGAAATACAATGCAATACAACACAGAGAGTCGGCTAACACAACAGCCAACACCCTACCTGGTTGGTTACGTTCTTCCAAAGATTGCTAAATTTGAGAGAGAGAGAAAACACAGACACGGGGACACACAGACAGACACAGGCAGAGAGAGACAACACAGAGACACACAGAGAGAGAGACACACACATAGACAAACAGAGAGACAACGCCTCTGTGTCGAGGCCTTAAATAGAGAGAGAGAGAGGGGGGGGGGCAGAAAGAGAGAGGGGGGGGGGATTGGGGTAGAGAACAATGAGAGAGTTGTGTGGAATTCCTGCCCATAGCAGCCGGAGGAGAGACAATGAACTTATAAACAAATAAGCACGGCAACATTTAGAGAGAGAAATAGGAAGTTTGAGAATTCTTTTTGGTAAAATTAGGAAGTGTCTATGTTTCTCCGTGTCTGTGTTTTGTCTCTCTCTCAAATTTAGCAATCTTTATGAAGAACGTAATCAACCAGGTAGGTTGTTGACTGTTGTGTTAGCCGACTCTCTGCGTTGTATTGCATTATATTTCTAAGTTTACTTGTTTTTTCTAATTCATTCTTACCTGATGATGGTTGCTTGTGTTGCAATCGAAACGTCGTATTCTATTATTATTGATTTTCTTTCTACGTGACTTTACCGAAAGAACCAAAGAGTAATTCCTGCAGTCACGGAAGCTTCTAATCATTATTATAGTTACCGTATTACCATCGTCATGATTCTCCTCGATGCTACGTGCTCCTTTGCTGTCCGGCCTAGGGGTGGCGCCATGTGTGGCACCATGCAGAGTCAGCAGGTCACGATGCTGCTGATGGTGGGCTCCGCCGCTTTCCTGGAGACCGTCCTCTCCACCGCCCTCTACCCCTTCTTCCCCCAGGAGGTGGGTGCCCTCAGCTCGACACCGCACGAGCGCAGCTGCAGGCACCACGGCCGTCCACGTTTGCCTTCTCCGTCCCTTCTCTCTCTCTCTTTTTTTTATTTGAGCTTTTCATTTTTTTTAAGGGCTGGCCAAACACACCCCAAATATACAAGAGCACAGAGCTTTTGGTGCAATTGTTGGCATCGGTTCTGAATGCTTCCCCACTCACCTCATGTTTTTTTTTTTTACCACAACTCCGTGTGAGCACTGTGCGCGTTCCTTAGTTGCCTCCTCATGTTGGTAACGGAGGAGTGGCTGACGAACTACCGCCGTGGTGAAGTTAATTCCCTCACTCACATCGCCACGGTGGTGAGATGTTAACTACCTTGCCTGGCATATAAGAGGTCGTGGGTTCGATCCCGACCCTTACGCCTGCTGTATATTTGGAGTTTGTGCGTCTCTTTCACCGTGAACGCGTGGATATTTCTCTGGGTCCTCCGGTTTTTCCTTCCACATTTAGAAACAACATCACGCGTTTAGAGTATTTGGCTGCTATATATTTCCACACGGTGAGCCACTTTGTTGAGCATTTTTTTTTGTGGCCAGGTCGCTTCTGAAAATGAGCTACAGAGGTCAGTGGGCCTTTTCTGGTAAAATAAAAATATTTGTAATTGTTTAGTTTTTTAATTAGTTTTCTTTCAAGAGGGCTCTTCTTGGGATGTTTAACCAAGTATTTTTGTATTCTTAGTTCTTTCGGTAAAGTCACGTTGAAGGGAAACAATAAAATAATAAGATATATATAAAACAATAATAAAATATATAAAACAATAATATATTTTATTATTTTATTGTTTCCCTTCAATGTGACTTTACCGAAAGAACTAAGAATATGAATTACTGCAGTCACGAAAGCTTTAAATCAAAATTCAAGTATTTTTGGGTGCTCTCTACATATGTGAGGAACCTTGAGTGCCCGTAAGAACGAGTAGGTCATTGTGTGCTGACATCATGGGCCACATTTGTAAAATTTGGCAAATTCGCTTCTGAATAAAGAGCTGTATAGTTCAATGGGCCTTCTGTGGTAAAATAAAAAAAAAGCTTTTAATCAAGTTTAATGGGTTTATTTGAGTCTATGTGTGTCCTTGAGTCTCTTTGAGTCTATGGCTCTCCATGTGAGTCTTTTATTCTCCATGCAAATCTGTGAGTCTCCCCCATAAGTAAGGGATGTACGCCATCACGTAGTCATGACGACGACAAAGTTCAATCCCTCGCTCACGTCACCCACACAGAAGTAAGAATGTCAGAATCTGAATATTTATTTATGCTATGGGAATCCGATGAGCTTATGAAGTTATTTTTCACAGATGGTGAGTATTTCACTGATTCTAAGCTTTCCTGACTGCAGGAATTACTCTTTGGTTCCTTCAGTAAAGCCACGTAGAAAATAAGATCAAATAATAATAGAATACGACGTTTCGGTTGCAACACACACAGAGACTCACCGCTCGGTGTGTCTTTTTGTGTGTCTCTCTCTGCATGTGTGTCTGCCTATGCTGTTCCCGTGTCTGTTTTATCATTCATTCTTACCTGATGATGGTTGCTTGCGTTGCAACCGAAACGTTGTATTTTATTATTTGATTTGATTTTCTACGTGACTTTACCGAAAGAACCAAAGAGTATTTCCCTGATGTTTGATGGAGCGCCGGACGCGTCACCCGGCTGCGCGTGCGTGCGTGCGCGTGTGTGTCTTCTGCAGGCCGAAAAAAAGGGGGCGAACGTGACCATCGTGGGCATCATCTACGGATGCTTCTCCGTCACGCAACTCCTCTCATCGCTGCTCATCGGGAAACTGGTGAGGGCGGCACGGTGCCAATCTCTTAGAGTGACACGTGCACACTTAGGGCGCACACGCGCGCGCACTGAGGGCAGACACAGGTATAAGATTCGCTCGCTCTCATGAAGAGAAAACGACTTCGAGGCGCGTGGAACCACGAACAAGCAGGAAGACAGCCACGCGATGAGCCGGCGCCAACAATTGCCCAAGTTCTGCGGTCCTCTATATATATTGGCATTACCGGCCAATTCATTAGTGTTTACATGTGGGGGGAAACTGGAGCACATGGAGAAAACGCACGCACGTTGGAGGAAACACTCCCATACAGACAGAACAGCTGGAGTCTATATTTTTGCTAGACTGCCTCCTTCTGGCAAAGCAGGGTTATAGACCTTTGGTGCAATCCACTGACCCTCACCCTCCACACTGCTGGATGGATTACAGGCGTGCGCTACCACCACCCGGATAAATATTTGTTTTTGTTTGGAGAGACCAAACAACGTAATCAAAGACGGATATTGAAAATTACAAACTAAACTATTTTTCTTTTTACACGGTAAGGCCCACTGAGCTATCGAGCTCTTTGTCAGAAGTGACCTGGCTATCACGAATGATAGCTCAGCGAAGTTGCTTATCACGTGGAAATTTATTGCAGCCAAATACTCTCAGCGCATGTTGATTCAAAATGTGGAGGGAAAAATCAGAGGACCTGGAGAAAAATCCACGCGACCACGGGGAGAGAGACATTGCAAACTCCAAATATACAGCAGCAGGCATCAGGGTCGGGATCGAACCTAGGACGAGGTGGTGAACATTTCGCCACCGCGTTCGCCCGATTGGATGATCGTTAAGGCGCGTGTCCACTTGGCCAATGAGACGTCACCGCGCATGAATCACAGCGGTGGGAGCCTTGCTTCTTGTAAGTCCCCGTCTTGAGATAAAAGCCAATCGCGACCTCCCCTGGCCACCCTCCCTCCCCTTCCTCACATCCTGCGTAAACAATACCGCGTCTCTCGGTGCTTTATGACCTTTAGACGTTTTAATTGATTTGTTTATTGGGGGTCTCCTGGCCGTACGATCCCGTACACAATGTCCTGCGGCACGCACGCACACAGGCAGGCACGCACGCCCATACTGCGACCCCGCACAACATTTCCTGTTTGGCCCCTTTTTCCCTTGAACCACGTTTGCATTGCCTGTGAAGTCTGTGCCTGGCCCAATACACATCAACCTCGGCACACGGCCCAAAGGAAATTGAGCGAGACGCGAAGGCATTATTGACTCCCGTAGATCAAGGTCGCTGGCCAACAAGCGAGGAATCAATGTGACATTCGTAATGTGAAAGCGCTGCTGCTGCCACCCCAGCAACACTGATGTGTGTTTGATGAAGTTGGGGTGTTGATGGGGTGGTCGGGTGGCGCCCCAAGCCTTTAGCGAAACTTGGAATGTGCTGGCTTAAACTTTGTCTCGCCTCATGCTCGAACCATGTTATGGGCAAAGGGATGGGTTACCTGAGCAGTGGGCGGGGTTACCTGGGCAGTGGGCGGTGTTTACATGAGCAGTGGGCGGGGTATACATGAGCAGTGGGCGGGGTTATCTGAGCAGTGGGCGGGGTTTACATGAGCAGTGGGCAGGGTTACCTGAGCAGTGGGCGGGGTTACATGAGCAGTGGGCAGGGTTTACATGAGCAGTGGGCGGGGCTACCTAAGCAGTGGGCGGGGTTTACATGAGCAGCGGGCAGGGTTACCTGACCATGGGGCTAATGTGATATAAATCACCGTTTGAAATTAAGCGGGCCCACGAGAGAGAGGGGCTGCCAGCTCGCCACGCCTTTCGGTTGAGCCTCACAGAAACGCGGTGGCTTTCAGACTTGGGTTGCAGTGCGACCGTTTGTGAACGGCAACGGGGATGCGAGCCGTTTGTATGCATGTTGAACGTCTTTCACACCGTACATAGCCAACCGCTTACCCATGCCACGTGCCGATGTCTGTCCCAGGTGCCATGCGTGGGAGCCAAGGTGCTGTTCATCACGGGGGTCCTCATCTCGGGCGTGTGCACCGTGATGTTCGGGTAACGACCGCGTACTGACTCCACCTACGCTCTCACCCCAACACGTTGCATTTGCGACCCCCGCATTTGTGGACGTTTGACGTCCATCGCTGTGCCTTGGCTCGCACACTGTGTGCACGTCTTTTCGTCCACTGTTTTGGGAGGTTGGGGTTGGTGGATCATGTGCGTGAGTCACCCGTTCCATAGATGCCAGGAGAACAAGCTATTTTTCATGGGTTCTGAATGAATATGGTGGAAGAGTAGGCCAACTATCCCCTAAAGGGGCCCACTTGAGCTACTCTGAGTGGTAGCCTCTCCTCTAACGGTGGTGTGAGAAAGTCTTTACCTGAATGTATGTTGAACTTCTTTCGTACCGTACATAGCCAACCATGCTAATCGGAGGTGCTGGGAAAGGACAACAAACTAAACTCATAAAGAAGTTCTGAAGAATTTAGCTTTCAAATGTACGAATTCCTCCCACATGTAAAACACTCAACCAAGAATTGGACAAATATCACAATGCATGAGCCTCTTTAGAACGTTCTAAGACTCAGAGAGGCATCCCTGGATAAATAAATAAAGACCATTGTTACGAGCTGAACTCAGACACGCTCTTTTTCAGTATCATGGCATCGTCCGTGTACCTCGCAATCGTCTAGACATTCAGACACGCGTTTAAATTATTCATGCTTTGCGCGAGATCACTCCAGTTGCATGTGTGAGAGGAACACGTCGCTGGGTTTGAAATCCATGTCACGACCGCGCTCGTATCAATTGTTGATAACGGTTGGGAGATGCAAGTTGGGTACATTTGGTACCGCGAAAACTACTGTCCACCGAAATAACTGTTCATCGAATTCACTTATAAGTTTAAAAACAAGTAAAAATCACTGAGTCTGCAAGAGAGCTGTTTCCACTGCCAAAACAGAAAGCATAATTTAAGCAAAGCCAGTCGAGGTCGAAATGCTCATAAATGTGAGTGGCTGATTTGGCTGAGGAAAGCTCAGCCCCACTTACGAGCGCTCGGATTGGCCGAACTTAGCGCCACCGCGTGCATCGCGTGAACGTACCGTTAGTCAAAATGTTAACGTGAGTCGAAACCCAAGGGGGTCCTATGGGAGGCGAAACGTTAACCGAAAAAAAAACTTTAACCGACGATGTCACTGTTAACCGGGGGACTTCTGTAATTTGAGTATCGAGTAAAAAATAAAATATTCTCCCTGCGAGAAAAAGCTCCGGGTTGCACCCATTATGTCCGTCGAGCCAGCGGTGCAACGTTGACCGTGATCCACCGCATAACGCTCCGAAGCATGGACAATAGGGGCAGGAGGAGGTGACGCTCGCAAATCCCACGCACGTGCGGCTTCCGCGCGGCTTCCGCGTGGCTGCACGAGGTGATTGCAAACCAGCGGCACGGATCACCTCCATTGACCCCTTCCCAGATCAGACCCACGGTGTATCGCGCGGGTATCATTGCGCTGTCGGTGGTGCACCCGCGCCGCATTACCGGCAGCCTCGTACAGGCTGTATTGTCGCTCGGCGTGCACGTGATGGGGAATAGAGCAATGAGACGAGCAACTGCTGATGGCGCAGAGGTGCGTTCAGGCATATCCGGAGGGATATGGGGCCTCAGTATATATTCGCGCTGTGAAAATTTGTTTCGTATTTTATTCGATTTTACCGGTAACAGCGTTGAATAAAACAGTGAAAAAATGGTACGAAAATTGGTTACCGGTTTGCCGCACATGTCTAATACACGCCACGGTGGTGAGATGAAAACTTCCTGGTCTGGTATACAGAAGGTTGTGGGTTCGATCCCGACCCAAACAATGCCTTATATTTGGAGATTGCATGTTCTACCCGTGGTCGTGTGGATTTTTCTCCGGGTCCTCCAGTTTTTCCTTCCACATTTTGAATCAACGTCTCGCGTTTAGAATACTTGGCTGCTCCACCATTTCTACGCGATAAGCCACTTAGTTGAGCTAATACTTGAGGCCAGGTTGCTTCTGAAAAACATCTATATAGCTCAGTAGGTCTTACCTGATAAGATAAAAAAAATAGTTTAGTATTTTTGCTTTGTTTCAGTTTTATAGTTTTTTTTTATAATTTATAATTAACAATACATTTGTACCTTTTTAGCCGAGTCAGTGGGAGGGGATGCTGCTGCCATGGTATAATGGTGAATGCTCTGCAACTGCAATCCAGAGGTTGTCACCGATTCGGTTCCATCTCCCCGGCGTGGAAATTAAAAACAATGGGGCCGAGTATTTTTTTTTCAAATCCCCGCCTCCTCTGTCCTCCCAGCAGTGTAAATGGGTTCACCACAGTTAGATGATCGGCAGATCTGCACGTGGTGGGGTAAAGTGTGCGTACGCTCATCTTATCCAAGACGTGTTATTTGCGCGGAAGAATAGGCCAAAGACCCTCTAGAGCTCCCTCGTGCATGAGCAAGCAATTACAGGGCCACGCCTTTAACAAGTGAACCACGCGTTGACTTGCTCAAGCCATGCAGTTTCTACGTTCGTGCACAGTGCCAACAAGCGGTGCTTCCATTACTCACATTCCACTGGACATGGTTACAGGCTCCTGACTTTCAGAACCGGTAACCATTTCCATAATCGGCTACCTGTTCACCGGTTGTTGTTGTTGTTTAATATTCCCCAGTACACACGGCGTTGCCGGGGGACCCCCGATCCCTTCCCATGTAAATGTCGCACCTCTGGTTAGCACGGTAGGCTACGTACGGTGCAAAAGAAGTTGAACGTACATACATTTTAAAATTAACATTTTTTTCTTCTTCTGGGTTTTCCACCTCGGCGTGGGGCCCCCGTCCTGGTGCTGCTCCCTCCTCTCACTCGTCAGGCCTGGGTGCATGCTGTGCCAGTTAGAAGTCATGCAGACTTCTAGCTGGGGGGTGAGATTCAGCATTGCCTGGTTTGTGCAGTGTCTGAAGGTGCCTGGTTCAGTCGTTCAAACGAGCGCGGCCGGGTGGCGCTCATTTCTGTCCTACAGCCCTGAGCTAATTGGCGAAGGATTCCACATTTCTGAGGGTATTGGCCGGTTAATGTGGAGGACAGCCACTTGCCTTCTCACAGAGAGTGCAGCTTGTGTTCGTATGTATGTAGAACTTATTTTCGCAATTGTACGTAGCCAACCGTGCTAATTCCGAGGTGTGGGAGGTTTTTCCCACGTATAAAATCACTTATGAATACATTTGGAAAACCCCAGTTGCGTAATTATCTTTAAAAAAATATTCCTTGGATATTGTGAAGGCTTTCCCCGGATAAATGTCGTTATTATTATAGCCCCTTAGTGTAATGTCGAAACTCTTAAGCCATCGCGCTGGCGTTTCTTGCAAATGACCGAGTCAGCCCCTGATTGTAAAGGACCGTGACAAACTGTTAAGACGGAGGAGAAACTGATTTTTCAGTGAGAGTTTTGAATTTCACAATGGTTGGATCGCAGTTCTGCGTGGGGAGGGGGGGATGTTTGCCGCTATTGTATGTGCGTTTCATCTCACGTACAGGATGAACTGAGAAAGGAAACTCATTATTGGATGTCCTAATGCATTTTGGGTATTAAAATAATGAACAGGTAAAGATATGTTTCACCAATTAGGTATAATATAAATACAGTAGTAGTAATAATAATAATCTGTTTGGTCCATCAACTCATACACCTTTGGGGACCAGTATTCCAATGTTTTCCAGCAGAATTTGTTTAAGCAGGCAAACTCTGCACTGGTTTTAACATTCGGAATCTCAGCAAGGGGTTTGACCAGTTACTCCAATCCCGCTGGCTTGTCGGACGTCATAGGCCAGAGCCCTCCGCCATTAGCCACCATGCGGTTCATTCAGTGCAGTACAGCAACATTGCACAAATATACGTAACATTTGTGTTAGATTTTATGTACAGTACACGCATTGCAAACAGTAAAAATACATACGAGCGTCTGAGCTCGCCTCTCAGAGCAGACCAGTGTAATGACGATCGGCTGTAAATTATTACCGTAGGACGAATATATGACTGTGGGGCCGTCCATAAATTAAACATGCTTCAAATCGCTTTAAACTATTGTCATTGTAGTGCGTATTTAATGTGGTGCTGCACTCTGATGTTGTAGGAGAAAACATTGATTAAAAAGTCTATTTAATTCAGTAGAACGTGTTGTCTATATTTATTTAAAGTTGCGCATTTTTACGTGACGTCACATTTCTCAAACCCTCCCTCGTCACACATCGTCACAAATATCTGACGCCCCCCCCACCCCACCCACTAGGTGCGTGACGTCATTTATGGACGGCCCCCGTAGCAAATTAGGGTTCATACCGAGTAGACATGCCAACGTTGAACCAACGTTGCCATTTGGTCGGAGCCATTATGCCAACGTCACAACCTTCCACGTTTGCCGGGCAAGTCCTCAGTTGTGAGATCTCTGCTTGGCCTGCGGTGCCAAGCGATGAGCTGCGCTCCGTCGTTTCACGATGCCTGGTGGTGAGATGGTGACGCATCACACATCACCAATCCAGGCGGGGTGACGGTCGGAGCGTAATTATCGCAGCATTGCAGTGACGAGCGTTTTAATTCGAGTTCTGCACGTGCGCATTAGGTGAATTCATTAAGTGGGGGGATGGGGGGTGGGGTGGCACTTTAACAAATGCCATCGGATTCATTGACATTAGGCAAATGTCCTCGTATGCACCTGGCAGAAGATGCGGTGGGGTGGGGCGCGGGGGGGGGGTATTCAGGAGTTTTGTTTGTTTAAAGATGATAATGATGATAGTAACCCTGAACCTTTTAAGCTTGCGAGATGCTCTGAGTTTGACATTAATTGACACTCGTCGATGATGAGTGTCGGTGCGCCCGTAACGCCATGCGGCGGAGGCCCCCACCACGTGACCTCTTAGTGGGAGCCTCCCTTGACGCTCGCCCCCCAGTTTGGTGAAGCGATTCGCTGCGGCTCGAGTGCCCGGGGCCAGAAAAAAAATACTTTGAGGGCTCCCATTTACACCAAGCGTGCA